GCAGGAATGGAGTCAAAACACTTCAGAGAACCCAGCTGTGAGTTCCCTATGAAGATGTAGCCCCTAGACTGGAACACAAAGAGGTTTGCTAAACAGTCCTGCGTATGGGAGTTCAAGTTGAGCCTTTAGCTGGGTCTCCCGTAGTCCTTGGGGGGAGAACAGCACCTACAGCGGGCGATTCATGTACCCAAAGATTTCTCTATTATTTACCAGCTAATTGTCTTAATTAAGGCCTTAAACACAAGTAGAGGGGATGAATCCCCAGTTACTATTGTGCAGATCTAAAAGCCACCAGGGAAGATAAGGAGACAATTCGAGTTACTGTGACAAGGATGAATTGTCCCAACACCAGGAAAAGCTCAGCAGGCCCATATTGATGTGTCCAGAGTTCCTCTGGCCGAAAACCCAGCAGCATATAATCTTTCAGTCTATCCTTACCAGCTTACGGAAACAAATAGCAGTGTGCACTCTTGGTTATAAAGGCTGACAGGAATATATGGTTTGAACGTGTTTTAACGTATTGTTTGGGCCCAAAAGCTCTGCCTAGGTAAGGCCAATTCTTTTTAGGTAGGTTAGCTAACACCTTTTAATTACAGTGAACTCTCATTTATCCAGCATAATGAAAGAGTGGAATAATTGCTATAAAGCAAATAATATACAGATAATGCAAAATACGTGCATGAGAAGAGGCTGCAGGAACACCCTCTTTGGAGTGCAGCCTCAGTGCACATCAATTGCTGAGAGAGTTGGGTCAATTCAAGCAGGAGGGGGAGGACCAGTGCCTGGTACCAACGGCAGGTTTACAGCTTCTTGCTTGATGTAGCACTACGCTGCAGCCGGGGCAGGGCTAAACCATGCTCCTGCCCACCCACTGGCATATATCATTTGGGAATTTGCCAGTCACCCATAAATTGAAGAACTGAACCCTAAAACCATACAAAAGATTAGACTGATGTCACCGGGTTCACTGCAGAAGTTATCTTCTTACCCACCTGGAAAGAGAGGCACTGGGATACTTGTTAAGAGACTACATGTAGACCCCTCTCTGGCCCAACACATTTCTAGTTAGCTTCTGGCCAGCACAAAGATGGTTCTCTGGAGACTGCTTTCTTTTCTGCTGCCTCTAATATGTCCCTACTTGTGGGATGAAGATTTTGCTGCCACCCTCTTAAGTCCTTTGGTAGAGAAAGGTATTTCTGCTTCTTTACCACTTCTTTAGCTTTTTGGATTTCCTAGACTCCCCAGGTAGGACTCACACAGGCGATACGGGTATTCACAGCTGAGGTGCATTGCCCAGTCCCCCATGGAGCTCTTCATAGACAGTGGAGAAAAACAGACTCTTTTAGCGCTCAGTTCATCTGCTCTATATTGGGACAAGGCCAGTACCACCACTGCAGATGTGGTTTTGGTGAGCTGGATCCCTCCCATCCCATGCTCCTATGAGCAGCTCCAGGCTGCAAGCTGCTGCTGCTTCTGGAGTTTTCCCCTGCTGCTCCATGAAACTGGTACGCTTGCCAGCTCTGCTGCTGCGCTGCCAGCTCTGACCAGCAGCCCTGGAAAACAGGGAACTGGTGATCCCTCTGCACTCAGCAGAGGAGCTGAGCAAGTGACAGCTGTGCTACAGCAATGCCGTGCAGCGCTGGGAGGTTGGCACCTCGCTGTGGGTACCACCGCTAAGGAAGCGGCTTTCTTCAGCCCTGTGAGAACTCAACGCAACTCCTTCTCTAAATGAAAGCTGAGAATCTGGATGTGTGAACAGCACTTGCCAGGAAAAGCCTTTGACTTGCCCTGAGTGAGTCAGCAAGAGGAATCTTCAAGCCTTGAACTCCTTCCCAGCTCTGACCAGCGTACTTTTAATTTCTGCTCTGCTGTACAGTTTTTGCCACCTCACTCAATCTTTCCACTGTGGCTGCCTGGAGGGCTAAAGCCTCTGTGGTGGTGAGGAATACAGAGATTTTCTTGTTTGTGGCTAAGAATTCCCCAGAGGGCCTTGTTCTCCTTGCTCTTTTGGTAACAGATGTCACTCTCCAGGGCTCAACAGATCTGAAGGAAGTGTGACCAGAGGCACGAAACTCAGTGACTGAGTCTGACCTGTCTGTCCTCATAATTCACCTGTCTTGTCTCCACTCAATGGAGTAAAAAAAAGTAAAATTACTGAAGAGAAAATTGGTTCTGTTTTACCTCAAACCAGGACAAGCCCTTTTCTTCCACCTGCTATTCTCCACCAAGACCCAGGGGTGGATTATTCCTTCTACGCAGGCCCAAGTGTTGATGATCTTTGTTCAAATGAAGACAAATATGGTCACGTCCAAAGTTCTCCCACTGCCTCTCCTGCACTGGTTCCCTTTAGCTGCAACAGTTCTTGCTGGAAACCTGTCTGTGCCCAGAGCCTGCAATTTCAGGTGCTAGCAAGCAAACTATCTGCTTCATAGTTTAATTCCAGGTACAACGTCCACCCTGCGATTTTTCACACATCAGCCTGTCTTTGCATAGTTCACCACTTTCAGAGACCTACCCTCTGGTGAGGTCCATCTGTTCCCTATGCCCATGACCATTCACAAACACCAAACACAGGGCCAACAGTGAGATCATCAGGTGGCCTTGATGAAACAATCAGTTAGTCTAAGTCAGAAATTTATTTAGGCTCCTGCTGCCTAGAGCAATGGTGCACACTAGAATTTGAACTATCTACACATGAATGATCTCATATAAAAAGAATAGGATAAATCTTTAGGTAGCTTTTATATTTTTTCTGAAACTGCAGCTTCTCCTGACAACAAACCATTCAGGCTTTGACCAGCTCTTCGAGGCAAAACAACGAAGGCGGAAACAAAGCCTAACCACTGTACCCATCTCCTTTAGGCTAGGTGCTCTAACCCCTCTCTGCAGTGGGATATTGCACAAATAGAGGAAATATATGCTGGTTTCTTCTAAACTGCATCTACTGCTCAGCAGAGCTGCTGGGGACACTGGTAGCAGCAATAAAAGGTATGCATAATCTGTGCAGTATTGGTCAGAATAGACTAGGATGTGGCTGGCAGCCTGAGGACACAGCAGAGGCAATGAAACCCCTGCATCTCAGACTAGAGCTTAAAGCTGCTCTCTGGTAATAGAGGTCTAGGTCCAGGCCATTAAAGAGAGGGTGAGGCCCTCCCATCTTTGACACAACTCATTCATTCTGAATAGAAGTTAAAGGATCTGGTCACAGAGTGGCTGGCAGTGATGAAAAGTGAGCCCCAAAAGGATAGACATTTATATGAAGATAATACTGGCTTGTGGGTTATAAAGAAATGCACTGCTGACTAATTTCATGAGTGGATTCTTTAGCTCCAGAGGACGAGATTCAGAGAATCTCACATCAGCCTAAGATCACCAACAGCCAAGATGCGGAAGATTTCCTGGAGTGAAAAGAGGACTGTTGTTTAAGACTGGCACCTAGATCAATCGCTCCCAGCCTTTTCTGTGGTGATCTCACTGCTACCACTTTCTCCTGAAACTCATTTCTTCTCCTGCCTCACCACCACCTCCTTGAAGCGCTACTTTCTAACTGCCTCTGGCCTGGAGCTGCATTACTGTCACTTGCAGGGGTGTAAAAGTTACCTCTCCTGCTGCTGCCCCAGCACACCTGAGTAGGCTGCACTCCTTGCTGCACTGCATCTTTAGGAGGGAGGTGACTCACTTGTGAGCTTCAGCTTCTAAGCTGTCCCTGTAAGAAGAGCAGTAGAGGTAAATACAAGAGCCCAAGAACAAGTCCTGTGGAGAACTTGCACCCTCACAGCTGCTCTCTCACCTCCAAAACAAGGTGGTCACGTCCAAAGTGCCTAAGGACCCTCCTGAGGGCTAACCCCTGGACCCTGAGAACTGCTAGTCCATGTGAGTCCGCATGGGTCAAAGCTGTGCCCAGGAACACGCTACCAATTCAGCAATACTCAGACCTGCACCTTGGCCCTGTCTCATTTACTAGGAGAGATGCAGCCAGTCTGCTGCACAGACAAACGGCAGAGATGTTCACAGCTGAAACCTTCTGAATTTCAGGGTCAGAACAACAAGCCTTGGCAGACATTTAGCAGCTGCTGGATTATCCCAGTACTAGCATTTGTTAGCTGGCACTGAGCAGATCAGAAGACCGGAGCTGAAAACAGCACTGTGCAGTGCTGTCAGCTACCACGCTGAGGAGACTCCATTAACTACACTGGAGTTACACCAGAAGAAATAAGAAGACACTAACGACTGCAGCCTTCAAAGAAAAAGATACACAAAATGGGATATTTTATGAGCATCTTTTCTTAGATTCTTGAAGAGTTTATTTTAGCGAGGCAGGAGATCAGTTCTTTCCACTGAAAACTGTTGACAACATGCACCACTCACTGCAGCTGTAAAATTTTAGCTGTGACAATGTTTACAGCAGTTCAGATATAACTTCAAAATGACAGCTCCACTGCAGTGGAAGGACTATCAGAAAAGGGAGCAGCCTCTGTTGTTTAACAAACGTTAACAAACATCTTTCCCTTATTTCATCTGTGTGAAAAGAAACATCCCACAGTTCACTTATCTGATCCCAATGTCACCTCAGAGTAAAGTTCATGCCAGACAAAGAGTAATCACAGAATAATAAGTATACACTTACCAACCATATCCATTAGTAAATTAAATTACTGTGATTTTTGGCAGCAAGGGAAAGCTAGGTTAGATGTTAGAAATCATTTTGAACCATAAGGATAGCAAAGCAAGAGATTCATTTGCCTGGGGAGGTTGTGGAGCCTCTATCACATGGGATTTTTAGAGCTCATTAGAAAAACATCTGTCAGGAATGTACCTGGTAATTTGTTTTGGTTTGGGAGTATGGGCAGAGGAGAACAGGATGACTGCTCAAGATCTCTGCCAGCCCTGCTTTCTAAGATCCCTATAGAAGTCGACACCGAACACTAATTTTTTAACAGCTGTTTCACTAACACAAAGCCCAATTAAACGACCTTTCAGTGAGGTCATAAGTTTTCAGTGCTGACCAAGTCCAGTCTAAAGAGGATCATCAGTGGAAAAAGTCAAAGTTTTATGGGAACTTGGGGGATTTTCACATACATTTTATATAAACTATCCATTCAGGTAAGTAAACCCCACTGAAGGCAGGCCACCAGGCATTTTAGGAAAAATCAACTGACCTGGTTTCATATCCACAGCAAAATAAGCCACCTTACTGCAACTCTAATCTTTAAAGAGAAGGACAGTGATACATTTTTCCTGTGGATTAACGAGTCAATTGTTGGTTTTCAGCCAGCGAGCCATACATCTAGACAGGGTGGTATGTCTAGGATGGTGCCTAGACTCCATGCAAACGGACACCAGTTTGCAGAAGGAGGGCTCAGAGGGCGGCCAGCACCCACGTCCACGGAGAGGAAGCTCTCCTTCAGCACCCTGGACAAGATCCGGGCACCCTCGGGGGTCCGATGGGACTCAGACCCCACGGGGCGAGGGGCTCCTTACTTCCAGCTGCTGGAGCTGAGATGTGACCAGGCAGGGAAAGACTCAGGGTCCTTCCATCAAATGGAGCCTGCCTTTTCAGATTTCAGAGCAAAACAGGGTAGGATGCACCAAGACTAAACCTGCCAGTGCAAGAGCTAATAGGGAGATGTGAATCATCTGCAGATGATATAATTACCTGGGGTTTCCACCCGCCGGTAATGGTAGGGGTTAATGCACACTTCTTTCTGTTTTGAGCCAAACGGGAACTCACAACATTCCAGTGGTTTCAACTCATGGTGAGATTGTAAATCAGGCCAGCGCCACACTCTGCAGTATATGACATGGGGAAGCCCCTTGCGGTGAGACACCTGCAGCCGCCCATCCAAGGAACGTGGTATCGTGACACATTTACTGGGCTGACCCGGGCAGCTTAGAGCCCTTTCCAGTTCTTCCATGGCACCTTTTTTCTTCTTTAACTTCTTCACCAAGGAATCAACAGCTTTTTCTGCCCACTTTTCCTCTTCATCTCCTTGTTTCCAGCCCAGCAGCCTTTTCACTGCAGGGCTGGTGAAGGAGAACAAGGAACTGATAGGGGTGCTGGAGTGCATAAGAAGCAGAGATTACACACGAGCGTCAACGGAAGCACAAATCGCTCTCCTGCTTTGCAAGGCTTGCACGGAGTTTCCACAATATTGAGATGGACACTTCCTTCACGGAAAGGTTCTTCCACACATACGTTTTTGTTGTCTTAGGCACTGGTGACAAGTAGTCCAACGGGGTGGGTCTCAGAACGTTCCAAACATCAAGAAACTGCTGATGAAGCCTGGAATAACAACACAATACATCATTAGGCTTCACACACTCCTTTCATTGTTCCTTCAGTAAAGTCTTCTGAAAGAGAAATGATTCAAAATGTGTATTTAATTTTCAATGGTTTTCTGTTTGTTTTTTGCTGTTTATTTTGGGTCCAAGCCTCTCCTCCCCACTACCCTCCACACTCATTTTAGAGATGGACCTTGGAAAGCATTAAGTGTCCAGTCACTTCAATTTGTGTTTAGAGTTTAATGCACTAGGCAAGTTGTTGCAGGCTTGGGGTTATATTTACTACAAAAGAAAATGCACCTTTTTTCTTTATGCTGGTAGCTGTAGGTTCAGCTCAAGCATCTTCTATGAAATTAAATCTGTAATATCAAATTTTATGGAAGTAATGAGTAGAATATTTTTCTTATTTCAACTCCCTCTCTGCCCCTCCAGTCTCACTCGACTGTCAAGAGCTGTAAAATATTAACTGCAAAATTAATTTAAAATTCAAATAATCACAGATTTCATTTAGTGTGTTTGAAAGATCTATCACTATTCTCTAAACTTATTTACATTGTCTCATATGCAAGAGAAAACCTTGTTTGCCTCGCCAGTCTGTTCTGCTCTCTCCAACAATTCAAAGTCTTTTGGATGAAAATCACAGACTTTTGGACACAGTTTGTGCTGGATGGATCCCGAGTTATTTCTGCTAGGAGTTGCTACATCTGACAAAGTCCAACAGAAAGAGTTTAGTTCTTGAGGGTTTTTTTCTTTTTTTCTTTTTTTTTTTTTTTTTTAAACGTAGCTGGAGCCAGTCTAATTTTAGCTGAAAATGATATATTTCCACTGACTGGAACTCTAAGGAAACCGTCCTTGTATGTCAAGCTATTTACTGCTTTAAATATACTTCATGGAACCCCTGTGCATACCAAGTCCAAAAGACTGAACTATACAGAGGACACTTAAGCAGGAGATGAGGGCAGCTTTTAAATGGATGCCTCCAGAGAAACAGCTCCATGACTGCTCCACTCCACCCCTGTGGGAGGACTTGGGTACTTCTTGCTCCCCATCAGTAAAGGCCTGGACATAGTCCTCTGCACTACTTATGTGCAGCCACTGAGGAGACAGAGAGATATTGCCCGGTGTTGGGAGCAGCGGGGCTTCACAAACCATATTATTCTGCAGTTTCCTTAAATTGTAAGAGTTCAAAGGGCACTTGGGGACACTGAGTGCAGACAGGAGGCCAATCCCAAAGACTGGTTCCTCGGCATAGTCTCACATGCTCAGCACCACACAGCTTTGGAGCATGCTGCAGGGTAAGCACACATGGCCCAGGGCATCCAAGCCTCTTACACAACATGCAATGTTTGCTGAGGACCAACGACTGCCTAGAGCTGTTTTCCTCCTAGCCCTACTGTTTTGTTCTCATGCCCATTCCTCTGCCCCACTGTGTCACCCTTTAAGACACCCATCACCCTGAGAAAAGCAAATACACGTATACATAAGACATTATACATAATACTTCCACAAGAGCAGCATGTGATGAGGGCAGGGGCTCAAATTCCCAAAAGGCTTCCACAGAGCCGGGGAGATAGAAGCACTTGGCCCCCCAGAAGAGAACGCACAAAAGCAACTCTTTGGCGTGTCACAAGTCCCAGCAGCGGCTGCTGTCCCCTTGGGAGATTCATATTTTGAGGACTAGCAGACAGGAGGCTGCATAAAAATATGAACAGAGGGACTAGAAAACTGGAAGGAAGAGCAGGCACAACTTGCTTCAAGCCCCCACCACAGCATTGAGCTCTGCTTTATGCAATTTCTATGTTATTCATCTATGTGTATGTCCAGTTTTCCCCAGCTGTCGTGGGGTTCTTGACAGAGCACAGGAGAAATCCCCTCACTCGTGCCATTCAGCAATCAATGATTGATTCTACGGAACAGTCCAAACTTGTCCCACCATGCAAAGAAGAACTTCAGATGCCAGATTTTTTTCCCCACTCTGTATTAGCAAAAATCCAATGACCTGGAGCATTTAACTGTATAGTTACTACTGCCTCTTAGTCAAAACCGAAGTCTATTCCAAACGCTTAGAGGGTACATGTGAGAACGAAATAAGTTCAGAATGATTTATCACAGGAAAAAACCCTCAAGCTGCTTGTAAAACATAATGTGGATAACATCTAGGCAGGCGGTCTCCAGCCTTTGCAGGAGCAGGCTCAGCCTGCAGAGCCCAGTGCCAGCCCTATCTAGGCATCCTGTGCGGTGGAGGTGTCTGTCCCTCACTGCCCTGGGGAGGACCCGAGGAGGATCCACCACCGCACTGCTGTCATTGCTTGGCAGCACCAAGGCCATCCTCACGCGAGAAAAGGAAACAATGCTGGGATCTCTGTGGATCAGCCCTGAAAGCAGCAGCAGGAAGCGAGGAGAGCCTGGGATGAAAGCCCACAGGAGCAGTAGTGGTGTAGAAGTCTCTGCTCCAGGCTGAGAGGGAAAAAGGCTCCCACTTCTTATCTGAGAGGGTCTCCCAGGCGTTAGCGTGTGTAAACAACTGCCTCTGATAAGTTAATGCAACATTACAATCATCAGATATGAAAACATACATGTTCACGTAAAAGTATTGTCCCGAGATTTTCTTTTCCATTTTGACCAAGGTTTTAAATAAACACATTAATCTCGTTCGGTCAAATTAAATAACTCAACAGTGACATCAGTATGAGTCTGAGCACTATTGTTGCTAGTGGGAGAGTCGCCAAGACTATGTGTATAAAAGCAAAAGCCGTGCTTTGCAGACCATGTGATGTAGTCTCAGATAAATACATTGCACAATTTCCTACCGCGCTCCCCCCAGTTTCTTCTAAAATCTTTTTTCCCCTGAATTCAACTGACATACAAAATATAAATGGTATTCAATAAACTAAACAGCTTTCAAATAATATTATTATCAGAACATCCTAGTTTTATGTTATTAAATTACATAATACTGCATATTATTCAGCAGCCTAAGCCATGTGTTGCTAGGCTTAGATACTCCATTATGAAATACCTAGGCAGACACTGCTCCAGGGCTGTAATGATAGAGATGTCAATTCACAATTTAATTTTAACAGTTCTCCAGGACAGTAGTTGCTTAAGCTGTATCCCTTTTCTAACAGGCAACTTGCCTACCCAACTGGAAACTTCCAGCACTGAAACGTTTCAAAACCACATTTGATGTATTTTCTGTGCTGATGATCCATCATGGTTCTCAATGCTCATCGGTTGAGAGTGGCGTGGGGGGAGGGAAGTGTTACAGTTTTGATCATAACCCCATCACACGTATGAAGCCCTCGGACATACCATGATGGAAGTCCGTGTCCAGTCACCTCTATCTCCCTCAGTGACAACATGATGTACTATCGTCAGTATGAGTCAGGCATCATTCAAGGTACATCCCTAACACGATTCCCTCCTCTGGGACCTCAAGGAAGGCTTTGTCTATCTGTCAGGTAAATGAATGGTCAAGACCAAACACAGTCATTCTTCCATGCTGTAAATCTTTATTCCATTGCCAAGTGTAGCCTAAGACCTGAAGCTTGCTTTAGGGAAGAGACAGAAAACATATGGCATCTGAGCATGGACCCACCCTTTCGTTTCTGTGGTCAGCAGGAGAAGGTGGGAACGGAAATGCTTCAGCCAAATTCACTTTCTCCGTTCTCCCTAAACATAGGTTGCCTACCTTAGCTATGGCTACACTAGTGCTGGGGAACATTTCTGAGCATAGGAACTTGATTATCTATAGCATAAATTATTACCACAGTATCTGGAATGGCTTTGGTTCTGTGCCAGTAGCACTCTCCCAAATAAAAAAATCAGCAGTTAGCAGGGACCAGGGGTCACTCCTCATAAGAAGTCTGCATAGAGCCACCCTGTTTTGGAGGGTGAGGGAGCTGCTGCATGGAAGCAAGCTTCTCCATCCCAGTTGGCCTCAAGGCTAAGAACAGTATCAGACTCGTTTCATTTATTAGTATGGAAACAGCCTTTCAGTAGAATTTACTCAGCCACATACTCATGTTCAAATTGTTGACGCTCATATCTGACCTAGTCACCCTCAAGTCCCTAAATATGTACTTGACAAAAACATGCACGTACATGGCATGAACCATTCCACCCTAAAGCAAACACCTAGAAAAAAGATCAGCAAAACCAGGAACTGCGTACAGCTAATGCTGAGTGAGATGAGTCTCAGCTCAAGTCTGAATGATTGCCAGGCTAAGACCCAGCAATATGGACACAGAGTGAAGCAGACTGGGATACTTTCTCCTACTCATAAGCCCATTTTTCATCCTCCAGTGTAGAATGAGCCTGTAGGTCCTCAAGTTAGGAGCAGAAACACGTTCCTCCAGGAACTCCACTACAGTAATTTCCACTGTGCTACTGAAGAACCCGACACACCAAGAGCAGAGAAAACAGATGAAACACCATCATGATGGGCTTGCTGATTCCTGACTTGAGCCAGGTCCTGCCGAAGTCGGTAAGACAGGTTACAGAGCTCATGGAAATTAAGCTTGTCCTCCTCTGTGTCTCACGTGGCAGTATGCTGAAACCTCCACTATGGAAAGATTTTGGGAAATACAGATTTCACTCAGGGTAAAAAGGATCCACTGCATCATTGGGGAAGATTCATATCACCCCTCAGCAGAATGCCTGTGCAGGCGAACACGCTGATGAAGTTCCCCTTTAATTCAATTCCCATGGGCACAGTAGGGGAATTGTACCAGTCCTCACTACATTTCGTTCTAAGCTTTATGCAGAATTCAGAAAGGAAAACCGCACAGA